ACATTTCATGGTCCTTTCAATAAAGCCATACAAATGGTAGGTCACCGCTGAAACAAAAGGTTTTCAATCGCTCCGTCAGACCATGTCCTCAGAAAATGTCTAAAATCTGCCCTGTGCCCCATTGACCTTTGACCTGTAACCTCCAATTTCGGTGCACAGTGATGGCTTTTCCTACCATGATCCTATACACCGACTATCACGAGCCTAGGTCGAGCCGTTTAGATTTGTGCCGCAATTCTGCATTTCCTCCCTATATCTTAAGTTAAGGAGCGAATGTTCCCCCTTCTTTTACACCTCTTGACCTTTGACCTTTGACCCCCAGCTTCGACATACCAACTCGTTTTCAGATTACCCCCCCACGCCCCCAATATCGTGACCGTACGTCGAGCAGTTAAGATTTGTGCCCAACTGTTGACGGACGCACGGACGGACGCACGGACAATCATGCGATTCTACAAGCTGCATCTGACTATGTCAGATGAGCTAAAAAAGCTAGGCTTAGCTGTGAAGATCTCGTACAAATTTACTGTGGTTACGTCAGACCGATTCTGGAATATGCTGCACCCGTCTGGCACACGGGCCTTACCAAAGAGCTCTCACGTCAAATTGAATCTGTGCAAGTAAGGGCAGTGAAAATAATAATAGGTTATAATAATTGGAATAGGTACGACATGTACAATGAGGTACTATCCCAGCTTCAGATCCAAAGACTTGCGTTTCGTCGTGAGCAGCTTTGTGAAAATGTTGCTTATCAGTTCACAGTAAACGATTACAGGATATTTGCCCTCCTTCAGCAATAAACGTGTCTAACCGCATAACAAGGAATTCTAGTAAACTCCGGCTGGCAAAAGTCCCTCGTACCAGCCGGTACTTCAATAACCCTGTTCCGTACATGTGCAGGATGATTAACAAATTGTAAACAGGCACAGAATTTTTTACAATAGCATGGATAATTAGTCTTTTATTTGCGCCCCTTTATAAACATTTTGGTCTCTTTGAAATAACTCTCTGGACAACTTTTGGTTATGTGATATGTTTGATTATCGCTGTCACATTTTAATTGTAACTATTTTTGACTAAGGATCACGTTATTTTAAATATTGTATATATTCTTAAAGATGATTAAGGTTGTAGTGATATAATTTTATGAACCAATATTTTAAGTGATAATAATGTCTTACCATGGGACATATATTATTGTAAATATCATCAATTTCAGTTTTATACTGCCTGATGATATCGTGTTTGCAAAATTTATTTTAATTGTAACGTTGTTAATACTAGTTTTGCAATAAACCTATTATCTATCTGTCTATCTATTGAGATTCACATGAACTCATGTAATTTGTTTAAGACGACTGTGTCTGATTAGTTGTTTTACTTCGATACAATAATTTAGGAGGGAAAATCACTCAGCTTTGATTTCCAGAGGGGTGTTCCGTATTATGAAGCCACGCGCGGTGACCGACTAAAGAACCCATTGCGCAAGCCATTCTGGTCAGGTGACCAGCTGTTTACAGTTATATGTAGGAGTGAGACCAGTGCACTGGGTTGTTGCTGAGAGGAAGTAGTTGAGACGAGCTTGTATCGTTAGTGTGTAATGTGATACGTGTATAGTGAGACAAGTAAAACGCCATTGTTGAAAGCACAGTGACTTTTGTGAGTTTATTATAATTATTTATGCAATAATGGCTTATGAGAATATCAGACTGAGCTAGTGAACAGACGTAAACCTGATATTTCCATTCGTTCCCCAGAGGCCGTGTCAATGCAAAGAGCTATTGGCTCAGCATGCAAAGCTAAAGTGGAGATTTTTTACAAAAAAATGCAAGACATACGTTTATCTAAAGATGGTCAGCGCCTACTTCCACCAGATATCTTCATCTGCATGATGTTGATGAATCCGGATACACAGTCTGTCACAAACCTCTAAAGATTTTAGCCAAGAAAGAAAAGATAAATTTCGGATCTCTGACCAGCGCTGATAAGGGGAAAACTAACAGCTGTTGCATGTAGATCATTCGTACCTCCCATCTTGATATTCCTCCGTGTACGATACAGGGCAGAACTCATGGACAAAGCACAAACAGGAAGTGTCAATGTTGCAAACCAGTCAGGATGGATTAATGGGTCACTTTTTTGAAATATGGTTTGATCACTTTTTACTTTCAGTTCAGCCAAGGCAAACGTCTAGCACGGTATTGCTCATCTTGGATGGTCACACTAGTGCTAGTCACATACAAAACATCCCTGTCATAGATCGTGAGCTCGTGCCAGTAATGTGCTCATCCTATCCTTGCCTTCACACTGTACCCATCAAATGTAGCCACTTGATATGTCAGTAGTCAAGAGCCTTAATTTGTTCTATGACTCTGAAGTACAGGCTGGATGCTCAGCTCGAGTGGTAACTGAATGGCAGATAGCTTAACGTTTTGGGGAGGCATGTGGAAAAGCAGCAACGGTGAAAAATGCGCTGGCAGGCTTTCAAAAATCGGGAATCAACCCTTACAACCCTGGAATCTTTTCTGATGAGAATTTTATCGCTACAGAAGTGACGGATATCCAGCAACTACCTGAATCACCAGATGCAGCATCATCGACTGAACAATCTGATGACCCTTCCATAGGTCAGGAACATGTCTAAAGTAAGGATTCAGGAAAGTCTGTTACTTCCAAAAATCACAAACGCTCCTGATGTCTAGCAACTACACGAATCACCAGAAGCATTATTTTCGACTGAACAGTCTGGTGACCCTACCATAGGTGACTGGTCAGGAACATGTCTCAAGTATGGGTTCGGGAAAGTCTGTTACTTCTAAAACCACAGACGTTACTGATGTCCAGCAACTACATGAATCACCAGAAGCATTATTGTGGACTGGACAGTCTGGTGACCCTACCATAGGTCAGGAACATCTCAAGTGAGGATGCAGGTTGGTCTGCTAATGTGGATGTGGATGGATCTCATGCAGTCATTCCGTGATTTGATGTCAATCCCAAAAACTCTTAAACAAACATAACGCGTAAAAGTGTGCCATGCAGAAGTAAAAACATCACCGTACAACAAGAGCATGGAATCTACAACAAAAGAAAAGATGAGTCAAATCTCGACGAGCCAGTGTGGTTAAGCGATCATCTGGAAAAAGGGCAAATGTTACTGAGACAACCTGTAAGGCTGAATATAGAGAAAGCCAAAGAAAAAACACATTCTACTAAGACCGGGTAAAAGTAATAACAAACAAAAGCATGTTACTCAAAAAGGAAAACAATCAAATAATCCCTCAGGTACAAATGAGGATGTACAGTGTCCATACTGTAGTGACAGTTATCTTGACACATCCGGTGATGACTGGATTTAGTGCCAGAAATGCCTCTCGTGGATGCATAGGCTACTCAGTGTGCAGGAGTTCATGACTACCAAGAAACATTTGAGTGTGATTTATGTTAAACTGTATAATTAAAGCTGCTAAGCTATAGCCATCTCCCTCCGGCCATTTGACCAGCTATCCATCCGTCAACAAGGCGCCTTTCTTTAATTGCTGGAGTTAAGATTTCCAAGTTTAGATTTAGTAATTTTAGTCATGATTGCTTTCAACACCCAAAATTGGGTAACGGTATTAATATAGTATATATACAAACCTTTAGCCACAGTCTACTTCCCCACCAGAAATAACATCACAGTCGCATCATTTGTTGAAGCTATGGGCTTACAGTCTAATACCGAGGTAATGCGAAAAACACAAATGATTATTCTTTTGTCTAGATATGTTCAAGATCAGAAGGAGATAATGTTTATTGCAAAATATATATTCTTTGAATATAAATTTCCAGTATAATTACTTATTAGCTCAAGAATACATATTGCTTAAGGCAGGAATAAAAATCATGTGTAGTTGTTAAGTTGTGGTAACATACGCATCCATATTACCCAAGCTTGGAGTAATATGGACACAATTGTATAAGTTTTTATGGGCCACTATTTTATTTATAACCTTATCTAAGCATTTAATTTATGCTTGTTATTTTAGCATACGGGAGTCTTCAAAATAAAAGTGATTCTGAGAAAGCTGATGTTTGTTTCTTTCTCCCCGAGCAACATTCTTGAGGTGCTCATATTCCCCCCAATTACCCTAATACATGTTTGCATTACATAGGCCACTGAAATAACTATGAATGTGTGATCAAGATATATACATTATTAATTAGAAAATAATTACTGCCATTTCAGTCATTTCTTAAATACAATGTATATCAGTAAATATGAGATAATGCAACTACGTGAATAATTTTATATACACAGCAGTGAGTATACAATTAGCACATCTCTTTGACCTTACTCGCTGATACCTCTAACATTGTTGGTTGTATTTTATTAAATACATTTTTTATGCAAAATAATACGTCCTGGATTAACACCGTTTTATACAATTCTAAGCTTTGCGTTTATTCCGAACCAAAGCTTTGTAGTCACCTTCCTGGTTTCCTAGCAAAGCATAAAGCCTCTTAACCTTGTCTTTGCGTTCAACATCCCTGAAAAAACACAATAAGGCAAGTTATCACAACAAAACCGTGTCAATCTTTTAACACAAGACGGTGTTAGCACCGTATTGAAACGTTCCCTATGCCTAGCTACATGCAAAGACGTATCCTTAATTTTTTCTGGACGATAAAATATTATACTTCAAATTGCTCCATATTATTCTTATATTAAGTTGTTGTGCTTCTAAAGCTAGAAATGTGCAATCTGCTACTAATAGAAGAATATACAAAGGGTTAGAGTAGAAGGTGCAAGTACATGAAGTAGTACAATCCTGAAGATTGACAACATTTAACATACTTCTCTTTCTCTTGTTTGAGCTTCTCTCCAGCAAGGAAATGTGCATCCTTACGTATCTCTCGTACAGCCCCCTTACGTTCTCGCTTCAGTTTGTGTAATAGCTTCTGCTGTTCAATCTGTTCTCTAGTTCCCTTCCTTTTCTTTCTACCATCATAGCTGCAGCCAGCAACAAAACCCAAAACTACATTCTACTACTTTTCTTTATATAATCTGTCCTGCCACATATCTATGTAAATTGCTACTTTAGTACATATATCTGTGGCGTATAAAATACTTTGCTAATCCTTTAATTAAATTTGAGATGAGGAATAACTATATAATTGGAATACACTATTGCTATATGGTTACATAAACTGTGCTTACTTGTCTTCTATTAGGGGTTCAAACAACTTCAGTGGTTGAGGTCTTTTCTTACTGCGAGAGAGAGATTGGCGTGTCTCCAGACAGTTGCTAAGCTCCTGCACAAGCTGTTGGTGCGATGCCTTTACACTGTCAGTGTATCTCTCCCAAGGAACCTGTCACCGAAATGATAATAACAGCCATCATTGCACAGAAACCTATATCAGTGATTGAAAGAGTTACAATTGTATCTTAAGATAGAAGGTATTAAAATGAGTAATATGTATAATTTTACATTTACACATTCTACATTTCACACAATGTAACTTCACGCAAGTTCAGACAACTACAATTACTAATAACATGCTTTTATGCCCACTCATTGTGTTTAGCCTGAGCCTACATGACAAAGGACCACCCACTAAACAATTCCAAATACATTATTATTAGCAGAAGGTAAATTACTATACCTTGCATAGCACATTCTTCACAGGTGCAAATATTTCCAGATAGGCAGGGAGCGATTTATAGAGCACAGCAAACTTGCACAGTAGTTTTAACGTAACAGATATTGCTGTGCACCTGCAAGAGAAGACACTCAACATGTCACCATTACTAATACAATATTTAAAGGAATACTTTACTCTAGAATTTGAGAGTATATTATGATAGTAGATTTATAAATAATAGCACATACCTATAAATATCTATAATTACGCATTCACGTTTGTCATAAAACAACATTGAACTTTGAAATCTTCATTTTTGGGCGCTGACATGACGCACCCGGCAGATAGGTGCGATATGATATGACTACTAGGCACTTAAAAAAAACCAACCTAACCCTAACCCTAAAAAAAAAATTCCATTAAATTAAAGTGCCTAGTAGTCATATCATATCGCACCTTTCTGCCTTCTGCTGACATGACACCCACGACCGTGCTGCCACCCTGAAAAAATTGCGCATTCGCCAATTTATCTTGCACATTACAGACCGAGGGCTAATCACAAAAGTGCAATTATATTTATACTTAAATGCTAATTAACCGAACGATATTCATTTTAGGACAAATTTATCCATATTATAACTGAAACTATATGTCGTTTATAAGATATTACAATCCTTCTGCTCTTTAATTAATAAATAAGAAACACCCTCGGTCTGTAGCCTGCAGCCGAAACATTGCTTTGCGCAACTTTTCAGGGGGTGCGCTGCCAGTGGCGCCACCGTCGTTGTAAGCAACGATATAGCCGTCAGTTGTAAAACTTTTTAAAAATATTTCTAATAAATATTGAACCATAAAACTTTTTATGAAGCGTAATTTTAATATAAATTAACTGAAAATAACCCTAGAACCTAGAGTCAAGTATTCCTTTAACTACACTTTCACTACAACCACATACTATCCAATCTGACATGCATGCACTAATTATTCACATATACAATTTTATCAAATCTGTAGATAGAGCTATACTAATTATATAACCCCATAACCTCATAAAGATTAGTCTTCAGATTCCAAGGGACCGTATCAAAGACGGAAAGAGGCAAAGTTGGTCAAATAGACAGATCATCACTGCAGATCGCAGAAGAAAAAGCCTCAAATTTGCAATTAACCAAAGGGGAAGAAAGAGAATTCCAATATGGAATGACAGAAACAAAGAAGATGAACTTAGCATGGAGGAAGCGTACATGAAGAGCAGGTCAATCAAGTTGAGCCGAAACCTATTTCAGAACTAGATAGAAATATCACTGATACTGATAGTGATTAATACCCCCGCAATACCGCTTTGTCGAAAGGGGAAATGGAAGGTCATGGTGTGGCATATATTATGAGTAAATAATATATGGAACACAAAAAATATAATGGAATTACAAAAAAAAAGATGATATACTGTTTCCATGGCAACGCCTTGACCAAAACACTCACAAAACACAATATGTCACGCACATCTACACTTCATGGTGATCAAGTGTATGAAGTTTGATTGGAATCCCTTAAAAACTGTGGAAGTACTTCGCGCCACAACCTTTTTGAAACGGTGGGAGTATTATCAAAAATGAGATACGGTTTCCATGGCAATGCCTTGACCGACGTACACAAAAAATATGTCACGCACATCTACACTTCATGGTGATCAAGTGTATGAAGTTTGATTGGAATCCCATGAAAATGTGTGCATTTCAGTGAAGATCGCTACTAATAATGACACTCAAATATTTGTGTGCACAGCGAGTAAGTAAAAGTCAAGGGTGATTTGGAGCGGATAATGCGAAGAATTTTACATTTTTCAGTATTGAAAAACATACCACACATTGTTGCTCACTTCTCAGAACGAGTAAGGACACTATTGAGGGCTAACTGATCACCCTTGTTGAAAATAGTGTGGAATAGAACTCCGCCACCAGCAAAGAAGAAAATAGAAGTAGAAGAGTCAGTTTCGGCCAACAAATCATTTATAAAGGGTAAGAACAACAATGGACCAAGCACAGAACTATAAGGTATAACCGATGTAACAGAAGCCACATCTGACACGCCGCTGTTAACACAGACAATTTGTGATCTATCATTCAGAAAGCCAGTCATGCAGTTTAAGATAGTAATAAGATAGTAAGATAGTAAGTGACTACGTTTGAAAATTAAGATCAGGAGGAACCCTATCAAAGGCCTTGATGAAATGATGTCAAGACTTAATGTCCAATCATGAAGAACATTGATTAACTCGGTAACCATTGAAAACCTACGCCGAAAACCATGTTAATGATAGGACTAAAATCATATATGCTCAAATGCTTTAGAGCAGAGAGAACCCAACGATATTGGGTGACAATTTGAATCAAGAGAAGATCCACCACTTTTATAAACTAAGGTAATGAGTCTTTTTCCAATTGGAAGGAAGAGAATCTAGATTATAGGATTGAAAGAACAAATTGTGTAGTGAAGGCCCAAGCTCATGCGCAAAATGATACAAAATAAAACCAGGCACCTTATCAGGACCAGCAGACTTGTGGGGATATGTTTTTAAGCACCGAACACTTACCACTAAGAAATATAACAGTGCTTGACACTCGGGCCAGCCGAAGGGTGGCCCAAAATTTTTTTGGGGGGCCACCAGAAATTTATTTCTTCTGGCCCAAAATGAAAACTGGTAGCCCAATTTTCCATTGGTATTTCTACCATGACGTACAACGGTACATGACTTTAGGCCCTACAAACTTGTCACATTGGACACAAAGCCACATTTGCATGCAGGGTTCGAATTTTGGCTGAAAATCTAGTGGACAGTATTTTATATTAATGGGAATATTTATACCAACTAACAGGTATTTTAGAATGTTTGGCCCTTTAGAACAAGTGATTCCTCTTCCTCATAAATTTCTTTACGGAGGATAACAAACTGAGTAAAATTATTTGAAAGTGGCACTTTATGAGCCTTATCAGGAGATTTTATGAAGAAAATCTTGCAAGTTATCAAACAAAAATTCAAATATCAACATATTTAATCCAACCACTAACAAATGTCTATATATGTTTATAAACAGTACTTGAATTCCAGGGTAGGTTCCTCAATATCTTTTAGAGATGCCATTTCCCAAAGACCGAGAGGTGACGTGTCAATGGTCCTACTGGAATACAAGCGACCTACTGACTATGTGCTCTACATTTAACTAAAGGTCAAACTAGGAAACAAAAAGTAGAAACTGTTGCATAAATAGGAAAACATATAGTTGATTAATTTACGAGTATATAATCTCTATTATGTACTCTTGATAATATATAAAACCACATTTAAAGTATAAAGTACAGACCATGACAAAATCACCTCCAGTGACACAACAATTTCATACAAAGTTGCTTGCAACATGGCAGGGGTAGAAATTAACTTTTGAACACAGGAGTCCAACGGACCCCTACCCTCAATTAGAGCCGCAGCAAAATGACGTAGTCTGAAGTTCAAAATTAAAGATATTAACAATAACGCACGTGCTTATTTTGAAGATTCATGCTGCCCCATTTTCTTTGGACATTAGCGGGAAAAATACGGTAATTCCGCGGGAATTTACAGGGAGTCACACGGACTCCTGCATATGTCAAATCAGGGAGTCCGACACTAAATCAGGCAGTATTTGACTCCGGACTCCTGTTAATTTCGCACCCTCACATATGGTAATCTTGGAAATTACATAGACCATAGCACTTCTTATATTTCACATATCATAGCACAAAGTTTAACTGCACTGGATAAGTACTTGTTTATGGCACTCTTTGGTAGCACAAGTAGGTCAGCACTGGTACCAACAGATTTAAACGGTGGATAAACCCTCAGAACTGGAAATAGAATGCATTGTTTTGAATAATCATCTCATGATACATTCATGAATCTAAAAAGTAATTATCTTATATTAAGAGGTTTACTTGTTTGCATATTATACAACATTCACCACCCATATGGTGAAAACCTATATTTCTATATTGAGAATCAATTGTCTGAGTTTATAGAGTTTTAATCTGCAAAAAACTAGAATTGTGAAGATTATGTTACCACAAACATAACCAAGCAGATGATTAGCACTTACCCTGATCTTGTTTGATTGAGGCCATGAAGAGGATTCCATAAAGGAAATTGTTCACTTCTGGTACAAACCTCTTGGATAATGACACATACTGAAAATGACATTTCCTATCAATGTTTTTTATTGACTGCCGTTTGTACCAACTAGTGCCGCAGAGCGACAGGGCTCATCTGGTGTCTGGTGTTCTGCTGATAAATTCATTTGTGCATAGCAAGACGTCCTATACATACGTTCATTTCTAACCCAAAAAAACAACACTTCAAACTAGTGTAATAAAATTCCGATAGATGGCGGGCCGCTATCAAAGGCATCGTTGCATCGGTCAGCAAAAGCATTGCAGCAATGGCAGCTCTCAGTGTGACGACGAATTGCAAAAAGCAGGAGCGAATAATTACCATATTATTACTATACATAACGTGCGTTCTATGGTGTCAGGTAATAAGGTACATTAAACCCCTTGCGAGGCACATCTGGCTCGTTAAAAATAGCTCAACGGTTGATACAACCACAGGCAGAGCAGCTCGTGCAAGATTACAATTTACAGCAATACGATAGCAAATATCTCTAAACTAATTTCAGTACAAGGTAGGCCAGTGATTAGTGGACCGAATAAGCTCAAGAACGTACACACTTGCGTCTATATTGGTGCCAAAATTTGATGAGAAAATTAAGTCTGGGAAATCCGCAGTCTCACTCCTGGGTAATTATTTGAGTGCTAGTGACTGTATTCCAACTATTCATAATGTACACTACAGAATCTTATATATGTCATGTCATTATCTCCTAAGTAAGCGTTGTTCAAGTAAGAGTTATGTGTGGAATTTCACTGTAAAATGGGAGCTTTCCACACCCACAGGTACTCGCCAACGCAGTTGAGAGAAACAAATCCATGTTTAACCCTCCTCTTGAGGGTCAAAAGGTTATCCGACACTTACTCTTCGCATGTCAGCGGAAAGTACATTTCATGGTCCTTTCAATAAAGCCATAAAAATGCTAGGTCACAGCTGAAACAAAAAAGTTTTTCAATCGCTCCGTCAGACCATGTCCTCAGAAAATGTCTAAAATCTGCCCTGTGCCCCATTGACCTGTGACCTCCAATTTCGCACTGGTGATGGGTGTCCTGCCCATCACACTATACACATCGAGCATAGGTCGAGCCGTTCAGATTTGTGCCGCAATTCCGTATTTCTTCCTATACCTTAAATTAAGGGGGAAATATTCCCCCGCCGTTTACACATCTTGACCTTTGACCCGTGACCCCCAAATTGGTCATCCCGAGTCCTTTTCACGATCCCCCCCGACGTCCCGAATATTGTGACCGTACGTCGAGCGGTTAAGATTTGTGCCCAACTGTTGACCGACGGACGGACGCACGGACGGCCGGACGGACGCACGCTCATGCGATTCTACAAGCTGCATCTGACTATGTCAGATGAGCTAAAAACTCAGTGAGCCTGCAAAGATAATCTATTTATTTCATGACATTTCAAGAGTGCCATATAGAAATGCTAACCGAATGCAGCACAACCACTGTTGAGCCAAATATGGGGTTAGAGCAAATGTCTTAGCATTCATTTGATACTCACATCTAAAAACACTGTACATAGCAACAGGCCTGTTGTTACGGCAATTGTCGACGAGACTTGGCACTGTGCTAGCATCTGGGCCATGTAAACTAGAGCCGGCGTGACAATCGGATGCTGGAAGTCTGACGTCGAATATAGCGCCGCAACTAGCTCCAAAAGGACAACCTGCGGGAAGAGATGCAACATCAATATTACACACATACAAAACTGCAGATATCTGTGCACTGCCCCACCGTTTTTGTTTTTCCAGTTTGACTCTACAGGCAGCTAACATTAGAATATAAAGAATTAGTAGTAGACCAGTTTGCAAGTATACCATGTCGAGTCCAGGAAACTGTCCTCGTCCCCCTTTCTTCTGTGTAGCCTCAGTGAATGCATGCTGCTTGTCAACCACCAACTGCTGCAAGAACTGTGCTGTCTCTGTCGGGCTTTGCTGTGCTAGGCGACACAAGGTCGGAGTGAGCTGATTAATGAAGCTCACATCAGGATCGGCTTCAATAGCCGCATGACCACAGTGCTCCACCAAAATCCGAAATAAAGTCTGCAAAAACAATGTTGAAGTGAAAGCAGGCACACAAGCAAACACGCACGCACGCACAAGCATACACAGGCACATGCACGAGCATACACAGATGCATGCACACACACAAACACACACTGCATGAACATACAATCATATACTATACATAATAACAAATGGTATGCACAAAAATGTAATATGCTGCATACAGCAGCAAAAACCAGGAACACTTCAATCAGTGTGCACGTGTCAATGAGGTGTACATGAGTTTCATATACTCTAGCTACATTCTTGGCTTAAAGAATAAAAGCTCACAAATCAGAGTTTACAAATGGATTGATTCAGATGATTGACTAATAATGCACGCACCTGCAGTTTCTCCTTATTTCCTTCAGCGAGACTTGGATGGTGGCACTTACAGATGCGTTCCACTATAACCAGCTGATCTGCTGATGAGTACCCATCTATCAATTTCCTGAACTCATCATATGAACCAGGCGCTGATAACGAAAAAGGCATACATTAAAACAATGTATCATGTCTTTTTTTAAACTGTGAATAGAAGCTGGAACCCCTTCACAATGTAAAGATGTCCACAGACAACTAACCACAGCTCAGTGCATTTCAAACGCTGTATGAAATGGTCAAAAATTAGGGTTATAGATAGTTTGAATTCATTTTGAATTATATAAAATAATATTTTTATAATAAATAATAAAAAATAAAATAATTTCCTACTTAAAAAAAGAAATAAATCAAATTATCACACCATTACCACCCATCTTTTACGTCGATAAGTAGATGACCATACTATTTATCCTAGGTAACCGAGTTGTGGCTGATTTGAAAGAAATCAGGTAGTTAACAACTTCCATACTACTCCTAATTTTACCAAATTTCCACATTTTAATCTCCACGTTGTGATACTCAGTGCCGGTTGTACTTTCATAGAATGCACCACACATCTAGGGCACCACATCTATTATTGAATTATATATTCTGCTTCCGTTTGTAAAAGCGTTGGCCATGTGATTTTTAGAAGTTATTTTTCTATTATTTAAAGTAAAGCTGTATAGGACATACCTGGAAAGGTGTAGGGTAGCTCTGCATTTGCAATTTCCATTCCCATTTTCAATTCCTAAAATAAACAATTACTTAAAACTCTCATACTATATTATATATTTACCATTGCACCATAATTATTCCTAAATGTATTGCCCATATTAAACAACAAGTGCCGCAGAGCGACAGCGCTCACCTGACGGCAGGTGTTCTGATGCTAAACTCACTGGCAAACGAATCAATAGCACCCTCCCATCGCCGTGTTTGTTCTCCCTCGTTGTCTCTCTCATTCTTTCTCTTTCGCTTTCTCGCTCTTGCTCTCTTCCCTTCGCGCGCTCTCTCTCTCTCGCTCGACCACACACTCTCTCTCTCTCTCTCCCGCTCGATCACACACTCTCTCTCTCTCTCTCTCTTGCTCTCTCTTCCCTTCGCGCTCTCTCTCTCCCTCTCTCTCTCTCGCTCGCTCACACTCACTGTCCCTCGTTGTCTCTCTCTTTCTTTGTCTTTGTCTTTCTCTCTCTTTCTCTCTCTCTCTCTCTCTCTCTCTCTTTCTTTCTCTCTCACTCTC